AGTGCACGACTTGAAAAATTATATGGTGGATTTAAAGGAGATGTCTTGCCAATGTAGGAAATGGCAAATAAGTGGAGTGCCGTGCAGACATGCGCTATTGTGAATGACTCATATCAGAGAAGATCCTACCAAATTTGTTCATCCTCTACTCACCCTAATGTGCACCCTAATGAGGAAATAGAGAAGAAGAGAGGTAGAAAACCAATTAAAAGGAGAAGAGAGTTAGATGAACAACCAACAAAGAAGAGATCAATTCATTGTACCTGCAAAAATTGGGCATAATAGTAGATCATGTGGTGAGAAAACATCAAGTTCAAATGTTGGCGAACTTTTCTTCTTCTTTTTTTTTTTTAAACCCCTCCCAAAATTAGGAGAATCTATAGTGTTTCCACACTTTCCTCCAGCGTGACTCGAACCCAGGACCTAACGGTCATAGATGTGGGTGTTTTTACCAACTGAGCAAGCCTCACTCACTAATATTATTGTTTTTTTATTTTTCACTTTAGGTTCTTAAACATTGCATTTATTTATTCGAGAAAGCTTTAGTGCTCCATTATTCTAGTGCGATTTGTAGGGAAGTTGATGTTTTTTTAATGCAGGTTTTGTAAACTGTGTCTGCTGGTGCACTCTACTGCTTTTGGTGTAATTCTGACATTATTAGTCTTTTTTGGTGCTTTTATGCTATTGTTGGCTGTTTTTTCGTTGTTGCATTCCAGTAGCTATTTTCTTTTTTTAAATTGATAAGATTTGTTGCTAGTAGGTTGTTTTCTTTATTAAACTGATAAGGATTTTGCTAAATAGAAGGGACACTGCACATAGGCTTTGTCTTGGTTTAACTCATAGTCTTTTAATATTATGATTTTGTTTGCATTTGTGCACAGAAGCATTTGAGTTACTTAACAAAGGAGACGCGTGGGGCAAATTGATGTATACGATTAATTAAGATATTTATTAATTGAGAATATAACTGAAATTATATCTTAATGATTGGTCAACTATTCCAAAGTTGTCGGTCAATCGCCGGAGGTTGAGGTAAGAGGATGAAAACGATAATTGTTTAATATTGGAGGATGTGTTTGATTTTTAAGGCATAGTTGGGGGACTAAAATGATTTTCACCCTATTATTATAGAAAAAAAGTGTTGCTAATTGTTCCATAATTCTTAATACAATTTTATGCCTCAAAAGATGATGAATGTGAAGAAATTGAAAAACAGTTCCTGTAGAGGTGTACCAAGACAGCCTCAGAAACGGAAGATAGTAAATATATGAAGCAACAGAATTTTGGGAATTCTTATTTCTACAAGCAAAATAAGAGAAAAGATAGAACCTTCTCTTTTCTCTTATCTATAATTTTCTTACATTATTTTTACCTGTTAAATATAACTACAAAATTATCATATAACTTAAATATAATTTTCATACAAATTTTATACAATATGTCTTTTGTATGTATTTTGTATATGATTTGTATATATTTTGTATGTGGTGTGTTCTTCTTCCTCTCTGAAATTTAAATCAAAACTTGCTCTTTTAATACAATTTTGATTACGTATCAACAACTTTATGTAAAAAGATAATATTTATAACTTAAATACAAATTTCATACAACGATTCATACATTATACAAGTATTTTTCAGCTTTCATACAACACGCAAATAAAAAATATATATAACTACAACATAATATAACTTAAATACAATTTACATACAACCTTAATATAATTTTGTAAGTATATTGTATGTCATGTGTTCTTCTTATTCGAGTTTCAATCTAGAATTCATTCAAAATCAAGCCTAATTTTCACCAAACACCCTCAAAATTGAAATATAAACTCCAAAGAAGATTTTCAATTATTTGCAACAACACCCAATCCAAACAAACAATAGTTTTTGAAACCCAAATTCGAATTCAAAGCTTTGAAGCTTTTTAATGGTTGTCATTTGTCAATGGTGGAGAATCAAACACCTTCAAAAATTATTGATTGAAAATTTCAATTCGAACACCAATTGTGCAATATGAAAGAAAATTACTAAGTTAAAACTCTATATTGAAACAATTGAAATTCATTGATGAATTCCGTGAAAAAAAGAGAGGATAAAAAACAGAGAAAAACGAAGGAAGAAAATTCAAAATTGGGGAAAGAACATCGGAGAGAGAGAGAGAGAGAGCGCGCATGGATAGGAAATAAATATTTTCCTATTCAATTCATAATATAAAGGGATACTCATTAATACTAATACTAATTGTATATAATTGGTAATTGTATATGCCCATGCAATTAAATTAATACTTGATTATGGAGGGTGATAAAGTTTCATATGTAGTATAGAAAAGTAAAAATATCTAGGGATCTTTTCTAACCTATACAATATTTCAAACTTATTTACCAAAATTATCTTAGATATGTAGTATAGAAAAGTAAAAATATCTAGGGATCTTTTCTAACCTATACAATATTTCAAACTTATTTACCAAAATTATCTTAGATATGTAATTTATCCACTATAATCATAATTTCTTTACAATTCATATACAATTCCTTTAAAGAGTCTTGTTTTCCTTCTTTAAAACGTGATTCAGGCGAAGGGGAAGCAAAGAAAAGAACATGGGTTTGCAACAGAAGATTCGATTAAGTGAGGGTGAAGATTGAATAAAGCAGCAATCTCCAATCAAGGTAGAGATAAAAACGAGGTTGAATAGAGGAAACTAATACCATTTCTTCTTTTGGCTTTTTGCCCTCACGAGGCACCCGCTAGGTTTTCACTAGGGAATTGTACTTGTACTTTCTATTAGGAGTAGTACTAAAGTGAGAATCAGCATGTAAAAACGTTGAAATTTTGAGTTCATTAACTTTTCACCCCTTTATAGTCATTGCTAAGGTTGCTACAGGGCGGCAAAGCAATCTGGAAAATTGAATCACTGATTTTTCAATTCAAACAAACATGAATCAGTACACGTGATTTGGAATTCATTCTTTTTTTTTTTTTTTTTTTTTT